TTTCAAGTTTTCTATTTTATAGTGATCCAGTGGTGATATAACATATTGGGTTTTTCATTCTATAGTGAATGTATTTGCAATTGGACACCATTTTGTAATATTTTGTACCTATGATTCCTATCCGCATCCTTTTGCTGTCTTCCCTCAGGTTGGAGAGGTGCACAGAATTGAGGAGATGCTGCTATGAGTCAGGCCTGGCATTCGTGGAGGTGCCCTCCGATGGCAACTGTCTCATTTGGTCACTACGCACACTCTTCATGGGCCTGGAGATGGTGAAGGAAGGAATGAAAGAGAAGTAGAGTGATGTGGGTTTGGGGGCAGTGGTGACGTTTGGAGGCATTGATGATTCTTATCGGTTTGGGATGGTTTGGGGCATGGCAACTCAAGAATGTTCTCTATAGGGATAATGAGATGTCTCTATGATCTCTACATTCTGGGGAACATGCACTCAACCTCGAGAACCAAAGCGACTTGCTGCTTGGTTTTGTTCCGGCACGGGCTCCAGATCCACCAAGGAACAAAACCGTGGCTGTGACTTCAAAGCGCTGGCTGAAACAAGTTTTCTTTTCACTGAGCATCTTCTGCATTCTCGAGGCCACCAGATGGAAGAGAAAAACGGGACCGCGGCAGTTTGGCCGTGTCTACAGCCCATGTTCCTCCCCTGTTGTTTTCGTCGAAATAGGACGTCACGTATTTTTATGTTCCTGCCCGTCAGCTTGGCTGCACCACAATCCTTGCTCTTGGGATTTGGTTGCCAAGCGAATCAAGAAGTCTGCATGGTGTAGAGAAAAGGCCATTTGACCCAGGAAGATCATTCTAAAAATCTCTTCCCATTCCCTCCCATATTAAAAAAGAAGCAACGCGCAAAGTCAGCACGACTATAGGCAAACCCCCCGATCTCGATGCAAGTCTGGCCAAACTCGTGAAACTTCTCGAAGGGGATTGTTTTTCGGTATTTTTTGGTCAGAACCAGCATACATGTCTGAACATCTGGCACTTGATCAGTTGGGCTCCAAACGGCGAAGACCGGCCGGTCCAATCGATACGTTCTTTATCGGGAGGGAAAAAGAGCCCATGGGCCGAAGGCTCTTGCATTTGTAAAAACAAGTAGGGTCAAGAATCTCTTCACACCTGAAAACACCCAGCGCGACGGCCCTGCCGAAAGCGGACACTCGGAAGTGGAGTGTTTTTTCTTCCGCCCTTCCTTGCGGGCCCAGGCCGTCCACTTCCATGTCGTCAAGAAGTTCTGTTCCTACCACCCTCCTGGCCAGGCTGTTAGTTGAGGGTTGGACCCTGTCTCAGGTCTGGCGACCTGTCCTGGTAGAAAACTCTGTTCCGCCCAGCCACGGAAGGCGGACTTTGCCGTCCTGGATGAGAGAGTTGAACGATGGCCACTGGCTGATCACTGCTGTTCTCCCGGCACATCTTGCTCGCCTTGGCCCAGGCCTTCCAGGTCTCTGAAGGTTCAACGCCCCTGGCAACCACATTGCCTCAGACAGCCGGCGGGCTCAATGAGAGGCCCAGAAAGTGATAGTAAGTGCCAGTGATGCGCCACGGCTATGGTGGGTCGTGTCGTGGACACATTGCCTTACAGCCCAGTGCTATGGTGGGTCATGGGCTCACTTCTAGCAGTCATGTTGATGGATGATACCCCATGCAAGGGTGGCCCAGGAAAAAGCAGCTGCCAGGTCCAAAAGCAAAGAAACCAGGAACAACCAGGAACAATGGCACAACAAAGAAAGGACACCACCAGGTGGCCCAACCATTTGCAGGTCAACCCTTATATAAAAAAGATTCTGCTCACCTGATATGGACCCCTTCCAATTGAACATCACTGACCTTTTGCCCAGCCTGGACCCTCCAAATGGTCGTCCACCATGACGTTGCCCGTGATGATGAGACCAGCGCCACCCTTCGCCCACGCGCCGTAGAGGCGCGCCAGCTCCGGTTGGGGTTCGCCTCGGGGGTGAGGGACTTGATCAGGAGACCTCTGGGCCCAGCCGGGGGTTTGGTAGTCGATCTTTCTTTTTGGAACGCCTGGGAGGTCTCCCTCATAGACACCCGAGTGCTGCAGAGGGGTTGTCCACATGCAAAGCATGGACCCGAGATGAAACAGTCAACGTCCACCACTTTGCCGGAAAGAGCGATCAACACACAGGTGCTGCGCACAGGAATTGGACGCTTTGAAGTTACCGGACCTTTTCAGTGGTTTCCTCGTGCTTCTGCTACCCTCCACCCCCTGTGATGGAGAGCGAGTTGCCGGTGATCACATCGGCCATGTGCTCGGACGTTGCGGTCTTGCAAAGACGGTTGGGCAAGACCAGGCCACATGGAAGCCTCACATCGATTGGACTGGAGTTGGTCATGTCTGGCGCCGCTATACAGTCTGCTTGCACATCTGCCGACTTTCCAAGACTTGACATCGATTTCCAGAAAATAGGACAGTTCTTGGAATTGTCTGGTTGCAAGCTGGGACATATTTATCCGCCGACCCCACTCCGTGGGGTGAGGCGTGACTGTCGATGTTAGCCTTAGCCTTAAGCCTTAGCCTTAGCCTTAGTCCTTAGCCTTAGACCTAGTCCTTAGCCTTAGACCTAGACCTAGACCTTACCTCTACCCCTCCGGACCCTTGTTGCAGTCACGAAATCCCGCCCGGAAAGCTACCTGAGCGACCCGGGAATTGTCCAAGATTCTGCCATCCCAATTGATTTACATCTTGGGGCACCCTCTCGACCCGCGCGGGAAAATAAGCACGGTCCAAAATGGTCCTGGGCTCGAATCCCGGGCTGGTCACGGCGTGGTCCCGGCCAATGCCCTTGCTTTTTCGTAGATTTTGTCACGTTTTCTGTTGGTTTATGAAATTTTCAAAGCCTTTTCTGGCATTTTCCTAGGAATGCTCTAGGCTTTGTCTTTTTGGGTACCTGCTTTGGTGGTGCTGGGTTGGGTCTAAATTGGTAAACCTGGGAGGTACCCAAAAAGTCGACTTTTTGGGTACCTGCTTTGGTGG